CAGTCGTCAGGTCACAGCTGGTCGTTACCGGCTGTGTCCCGCCGAATAGCGGCAGTCACTGACAGAGAGCAGGGCTGCAGAAGCTCTGCTTTCTGTCAGTTCCCTACATGCTGAGCTGGAGAGAAGAGTTTATCTCTCCCGATCAGCGTGTCCCCCGTGCAGTACACACCCCCACCCCCTAGTAAAACACTCCCCTCACACAGTTAACCCTTTCAGTAAATAAAAAAGTTAACTCCTTCCTCCCCAGTGCCATTAGTACAGTGTCAGTGTTTTTTTTTTTGCACTGATCACTGTATTGCTGTCACTGGGGATGTCAGTGACCCCAAGTCAGTTCCCCCCTAGTGTCAGAACGTCCGCCGCAGTCCCGCCATAAGTCGCTGATCGCCGCCATTATTAGTATAAAAAAAAATTAAAAATCCCAGTATCTTTCCCGCCATTTGTAAATGCTATAACTTTCACGTAAACCAATTAATTTACACGTATTGGGTTTTTTTTTTTTTAGCAAAGACATGTCACAGAAGGCATTTTCGCCGAAATTTATGACGAAATTAGATTTTTACATTTTTTTTTACTAGACATGTTTTATAGCAAAAAGTCCAAAATATTGTTTTTTTCTCAAAATTGTCAGCCTTTTTTTTTTATAGCGCAAAAAATAAAAACCGCACAGGTGATCAAATACCACTGAAAGAAAGCTCTATTTGTGTGAAAAAAAAGGACATAAATTTCATTTATGTACCGTATTGCATGACCGCGCAATTGTCCGTTAAACTAGCGCAGCGCTGTATAGCAAAAAAATGGTGCAAATTGCAGTATCTATACCATAGTTTGTAGACGCTATATCTTTCACACAAAGCAATCAATATACACTTATTGGGATTTTTTTTACCAAACACGTAGCAGAATACATTTTGGCCTAAATTTATAACTAACTTTGAGTTTACTATATATTTTTTATAGCTGAAAGTAAAAAATATAATTTTTCTTCAAAATTTTTGGTCTTTTTTTTGTTTTATAGCGTGAAAAAAAAAAAAAAAAAAGCGCATAGGTGATCAAATACCACCGAAAGAAAGCTCTATTTGTGTGAAAAAAAGGACGTAAATTTCGTTTGGGTGCAGCATTGCATGACCGCGCAATTATCAGTTGAATTAATGCAGCGCCGAGTAGCAAAAAGAGGCCTGGTCAATAAGGGGGGTAAATCCTCAGGTGGGCAAGTTGTTAAAGACCCGATTTATAGAAAAAGGGTATGATGAGCCTGTAGTGGATCACACAAATAGAGAGGTGTCTTTGATCGAGAGAAAATCTTTGTTACAATGTAAGAATAAGAGGAAAGCTAACCAAAATAATAATGATCAATTTTCTTTTATTACTACTTTTTCATACAATTTTGGTTTTGTCAAAAATATATTTAAGAAGCACAGGAGAAATACTAAAAAATGATAAGATATTAGGACCAGTTTTACCTGAGAACCCCCATATTATTTTTCGTAAAGCCTCCACATTGAGAGATTGTCTTGCTCTCATTGTGGTTAGCCATCCCACAAAAAAAAAATCTGTGTTTGGTGATTTAAAGGGCTTTTTTCCCTGTCATATGTGTTCTATGTGTAAGGTACTCAAGAGAAGAGTAACGAAAACCAAAGAATTTAGTTCTTATGTCATGCATAAATATTACAAAATTCAGGATTTAATTACATGCTCTTCTAAAGTTGTTGTTTATTTATTGGGTTGTCCATATGGGTTTCAGTATATAGGGAGGACTTCACGAAATGAGAATTAGTGAACACATTGCTAATATCAAAAAAGGTTTTAAAGGACATAGTTTATCTAAACATTATAGGTTATGTCATAATAAAGATCCATCTTCCCTTAGCCTTATAGGTATAGATAAATATAATCCTCATTGGAGGGGAGATAAGATCTGCGGAATATCTAGGGCTGAAACCCAGTGAATATATTTACTAAAATCTTACCATCCCCACGGGCTCAATATAGAGTGGGATCTCAATTGTTTTATAAATAATAGCTAACTTAATGGATGTTTATGTACAAACCTTTTTTTTGTCCTGTTGTATATGTAATTTTTTTTACCCATGTAATTTTGTAGGAACTTTGCATATTTTGCATTTTAAAATAAACTTGATTTTAACCTGTCCACTAGATGGCATAGATCAATTGTTAACTTTTAAAATTATGCATTTAAGGGGCTATTTCGAATGCTTTGATCAATTAGATATATAATATATCTTTTGTTTTTTCAAATTGCCCTAAGTTTATATTTTGGCACATCTATAAAGTTTGGTATCGAGCCGTGTGTTTACAATATTGACGGTTTACACATGCGCAGAATAGACCACTTCTGTGGTCTATAAGATCTGTCACTGGTAATGGAGGCCATGCTCCATTCTCCTGACGATGCTGATGGGTTGTGAAACATGTTGGGTGGGGCCTAGCTGGTGATGTCATATATGCTAACTCTGAAGGCTTTGGTCTCGGTTTCTTATGTGCTCCTATACTTCTAATGTTTGAGAGTATATGTCTGCTTATTTTAAATAAAAAATTGTTTTACGATATAACACCATTGTGGTCCTTTAATCTTCTCCTCCGGAGGGAATATCCATTTATTGCACAAGAAGATTCCTCCTGGTATCTGTAACATTATGCTGAGGAGGCGGGGAAAATATCCTATCAGTGAGATGAGTGCTGAATATGAGCACACAAGCGTGTATGGAAAGTGAGATCCATATTTCTGGTAAGAGGCTGATCATTTATTTGGTGGAGAAATCACGTTTGCTCATCGCTTTTCAAGATTTGATTAAATCTTGGAGAATATATGTTGAACTGAGCCCTTTTTCACATGTCTGGTTTCGCTTTTCATAAGGCGGATTGCACTTATTTATTATAAAGTTGTGGTTTGTTAGCCCTTTTTGTATTAAGAGGGTTCACAAGTGTATACAAGTGTATATTGTATTGCTATAAATGTAGAGATGCGCACCAAGTATATGTTTAGATTACTATAAGGTTATTATTCGACTTTATGGGAGCAGCACTTTTTTTAATTTTGTTTCACTAAGCACAAATAATTTTTTTATAGAATACAGCATTTGGGTATGGCGATGTAGGTAGGCATGTTTGCTATAGAATTTTTTTTTGCAGTTGTTTTGAAACAATACACTCAGCACAGTAGACTCAGTCTACTTAATTAAGTATCTGAGATTGGTGTTATTTATTCTTCCTTAGTTTCTTGGACAAGTACCTAATAGCTACAGATAGAATAGAAATCAAATGCGGGAAGTCGTCTCTAAAAAAATGCTTCATATAAAACACTGCAGCAATTATTTATCATTCTGCAAATGGATAAGAAAAGTAATGTGGCAAGCATGGAAAGAACACTGTATGTAGATGAAGGCAAAAAAGCCATACAAAGTTGAGTACATTTTAAAGAGGACTTTGTATTATGATCACAAAAACACAATATGTAATTTGTATTCCATTTCCAACCAGATTTCCTAATGCCACTGTTTGCACTACATACTCTCTGCATCTGCTATGTTAAATGTGTTCTGGAAAGGTCATACTTAGAACAAATGGGCAGAGATTACCAAACGTTTTAATCTCCCCTTCATGCTCCTAAAGTCTTTCTTCAGGCACACAGTAGGGCCAGAGAATATGGAGACTTCTGACATCACATAACCAACAAACCAAGGACTCTGGGCATCTTTTCAGTTTGGCACTAAGATATGCCAAGCTGCAATTAAAAACATTAGTGGACACAATTGGGTCTTCACACCAAAACTGAACACAAGTGATGTTTTTCCACATTTCACATATACAAAGCTGAGAGAACAGTGACAGCACTGTTAGAATGTAATTAAAAAAAAGATCTTTACTAGTCTAAGAGCTAGACAAGCATGTTTGATGCTTCACTTAGAGTGACTACAGTATACAAGGCAGCTCAGTAGCTGCAGAATAATGCAAGTATATTTATAATGAGTTTATAATTTACAGCAATCAAGGAATACAAACTACCAAAACATCTTTTTCACTTATGGCATTGGTAAAGTCCAACCTTACATTTGGATAAATAAATAAATAAAAATAAAGGAAAACCCTAAGGGCCCAACTACATGTGAAATTTTTTTTATTGCCTAGTAGAAAGAGATTAACCCCCTGCTGACAGCTGAATCATTACCAACATACTGAAACCAGCTGCATGCAAATGAGGTAGCTTTAACAAGCAGTATTCTCATGCTACTAGTAATTTCTAAATGCAGTTGTGCTATAAGTCCTCTAAAAACTGAATCACATATGGGTGTCTTTTTTTCCTCTAAGGAACTTGAATGGTGAAATATCTTCCCTGGGATTCTAGACCATTACTCCTGTCACTGCTATTGCTAAATCAAGAGATACAGGTCTCATACATACTGCTGCACTGGGAAATGGATTTAGAGAGAGTGTTTGCATTCATGGGGTAAAACTAGGGTTGCCGCCTCATCCCTTTAAAACCGAACACATATTACTTACAGTATACAGCTTCTGAGGCAAATTTATTGCAGATAAGGCACCAAGTGAGTTTAATTACTACCTTAATCAGCCACAGAAACTGTGTAATTCAATATGTGTTCGGTTTTAAAGAGATGAAGTGGCAACCCTAGGTAAAACTCCAGTAATATCAACTGATGTCAAGGTTGGGTGGATTGGGATTTTGGATACATAGCCTGGCAACTCTCAAAAATATGCTATGTTTGAATGTTTAAAAGTCAGCTTCTGCTAGATGAATACAAAAAGTAAGACACACAATCAATTCAGGATAAGCTGTCAGTGCAAACTGGACTATAAAGTATCCCAACTGAAAAAACAGTCATATGTTTGTCATCACTCTGATCTGTGCATTACTGGTATTATCTCCTCTACAGTAAGAGAGGGGACATCTACACTGATCATCAGGGCACTGATGATCAGTGTGCCCTGATGATCAGTGTAGCCCCAGCCCTGCCACCTGTCAGTGTCCATCAGTGCCAGCTGTCAGTGCTCATCCATGCCACCTGCCAGTGCCCATCAGTGCCACATCAATGCCACATATCAGTGCCTACCAGTGCACATCAATGCCACATATCTGTGCCCATCTGAGCTGCTTTTCAGTGTCACCGATCAGTGCCAGTCAGTGCCACCTATCAATGCCAGTCAGTGCCACCTATCAGTGCTGCCAATCAGTGCCACCTATCAATGCCAGTCAGTACCAGTGTCGCATATCAGTGTGCATCAGTGACGCATATCAGTGCCCGTCAGTGCTGCCTATCAGTGCTGCCTATCAGTGCCAGTCAGTGCCGCCTATCAGTGCCATATATGAGTGCTGCCTTTCAGTGCCCATCAGTGATGCCTGTCAATGCCCATCAGTGCCACCTACCAGTGCCACCTATCAGTGTCCATCAGTGCAGCCTATCAGTGCCCATCATTGCAGCCTCATTAGCGCACATCAGTGAAGGAGAAAAATCACTTATTTACAAAATTGTATAACAAAAACGAAAGAAAAAACGTTTTTTTCGAAATTTTCAGTGGTTTTTGGTTTGTTTAAGAAAAAATAAAAAAAAACCCAGAGGTGATTAAATACCACCAAAATAAAGCTCTGTCTCAAAAAAAATGATAAAAATTTCATATGGGTACAGTGTTGCATGATCGCGCAATTGTCATTCAAAGTGTGATAGCGCTGAAAGCTGAAAATTGGCCTGAGCAGGAAAGGGGTATAAGTACCCGGTAGGCAATTGGTTAAAGCAGATATCCATCCTGCAGCCCCTCCCAATTCTACCTTTCCCCTTAAACCCCCCTTTGCAATTATTTTTAAACATTCCCTTACATACAGTACATGTCCTAATTCCAGCTGTCTTCTGGTCAGTCAGGTATTGTTACAAATTCTTTTTCTCCTTTGGCATTGGCAGTCCCTACTGCAGCAGTCAAAGAGCAAACACTTAATGTCACATGATTGCTTTCAGTATCAGAGCACTGTGAACCCAGGACGTTGTAATGATGCACCATCAGAAAGTGTCCATGATAGTGTGTCTGGACTCACAGAATGGGGATGAATGCTGTCTAAAATTAGAAGAAAAAACCCGCACACAAATAATAGCTAATGGGAAAATGGTAATTAGGAAGGATTAGGATTACCTAAGGGTTATTGGGGTTAAATGGGAACACACTGTATATAAAAACAAGCAATTTTTTCTTCCTAAAGCTCACCCCTTTGATCTGGAGATAAATGCACCTAAGTAAATACAAAGTAATATTATTGCTACTTTGTATTTCTGAATCACGCTACTGAACTGTGTATACAAACACTGGTCAGAATGTCTATTTTTGATAGCAGTGTCTAAAATCGAGTGCTGTACTTGCAAAGGAGCACATTCCTGAGTGATTCATGGTGTGAACCAGCCCTATATAGGAGACATTCGCAGTCCCTGACACTATTATACAATACAGCAAGATAGGGAGGATGACAACTAACCTTCCTAGCATTTGGATTCTAGTTTTTGTATTGTATGAGGACACAGGGCACTCACAGGAAACACATGAAAACAGATGGATAACATGCAAACTACATGTGGATAGTGACCCAATGCATTTGATCCAGAGCTACAAGGCAATAATAGTTTCCATTCTGAATTGTGCTGTATGGATTCACATGATGTTTTGACTTTTAATTATAGGTCCACTACAAGATCTGGGGCAACCAAGTACTTCTAGATGTACTGAGCCTTAAAGGGAACTTACAGGGATTGATTTACTAAAGCTGGAGAGTGCAAAATCTAGTGCAATGCTGCATAGAAACCAATGAGCTTCCATTTTTTTTTTTGTCAACGCCTAATTGAACAAGCTACAGTTTGAAGCTGATTGGTTACTATGCACAGCTGCACCAGATTTTGTACTCTCCAGTCTTAGTGAATATCCCCTACAGTGATTTTATACTTTCAGATTATTTTATTTATAGTCAGATTAATGAGAGGTATTAATCAGAAAAAGAGTGCTTAAAGAAAACAGAAATAGCACCCTCCATAAAAACCCCCTATACTCTGAAACTCCAGGGTTCTAGGGTGAACCCGGTATAAAAACACTGAATACATATACATATGTGTGTGTGTATATATTATATATATATACATACACACACACAGTATATATATACACATATACATATGTGTGCATATACAGTTGTGTTCGAAATAATAGCAGTCAGACATCACTAACCTGATCATTCACTGTTTTTGGTAGAAATGATATTTCTACATGGCAAATAATTTATTACCAGGTGTAGTACAGTAATAGAAATCCAACAGACCCAACAGTCATGACATGCATGCTGCTGATTCTGTGTAATTGAATCACTAATTGAAAGGGGCATGTTCAAAATAATAGCAGTGTGGAGTTCTATTAGTGAGGTCATTCATTCTTTGAAAAACAGGTGACAATTATTGTCCTTATTTAAGGAAGGAAGGCAGAAAATGTTGTACATGCTGGTTACAGTGCATTTCTTTCTGAAATTCTGAGGAAAATAGGTCGTTCCAGACATTGTTCAGAACAGCGTACCTTGATTAAAAAGTTGATTGGAGAGGGTAAAACATATAAAGAAGTGCAGAAAATGATAGGCTGCTCAGCTAAAATGATCGCAAATGCTTTAAAATGGCAACCAAAACCTGAAAGACGTGGAAGAAGCGAAAAACTACCATTCGAATGGATAGAAGAATAGCCAAAATGGCAAGGACTCAGCCAACAATCAGCTCCAGGAAGATCAAAGAAGGTCTAAAGTTACCTGTGAGTACTGTTACAATTAGAAGATGCCTATGTGAAGCCAAGCTATCTGCCAGAAGCCCCCGCAAAGTCCCACTGTTGAAAAAAAGACGTGCTGAAGAGGTTACAATTTGCCAAAGAGCACATTGACTGGCCTAAAGAGAAATGGCGCAACATTTTGTGGACTGATGAAAGTAAGATTATTCTTTTTGAGTCTAGTGGCTGGAGCCAGTTTGTCAGACGACCCCCAAACACTGAACTAAAGCCACAGTACACTGTGAAGACAGTGAAGCATGGTTGTGCAAGCATCACGATATGGGGATGTTTCTCATACTACAGAGTTGGGCCTATTTATCGCATACCGGGGATTATGGATCAGTTTGAATACATCAGAATACTTGAAGAGGTCATGCTGCCTTATGCTGAAGAGGTAATGCCCTTGAAATGGGTGTTCCAACAAGACAACGACCCCAAACACACCAGTAAATGTGCAACATCTTGGTTCCAGACCAACAAGATTGACGTTATGGAGTGGCCAGCCCAATCCCCGGATCTTAATCCAATAGAAAACTTGTGGGGTGACATCAAAAATTTAGTTTCTGAGGCAAAACCAAGAAATAGAGAAGAACTGTGGAATGTAGTCCAATCATCCTGGGCTGGAATACCTGTTCACTGGTGCCAGAAGTTGGTTGACTCCATGCAACACAGATGTACAGCAGTTCTCAGAAACAGTGCTTATACAACTAAATATTCATTAAGTGATTCAAAGGAAAGCAAAATCTTCAAACATTTTTCAGTTTATATAGTGAATGTTTTGAGTTTGTAAAGAAGAATACAAACACTGCTATTTTTTTGAACAGTCTAATATTCACTTTTCCACATTTTTCTTAGAGGAACACCACAAATGTTATATATTTTTCTTCATGTTTTGATTTGGAATAGAATGTGTAGTGTTCCCAATGCATTTGTGTGTATGGAAATGAAAGCTATTAGAAGGATTTTGAGCTTTATTCACTTTTTTCAACACACTGCTATTATTTTGAACACACGTGTATATATATATATATATATATATATATATATATATATATATATATATACACATACACACACACACTGTATATATATATATATATATCTATCTATCATGTAGATGATTTCCAAGATGCCTATAGAACTCACATGAGGATGGCAAAAAAATAATAGCCCAGCTGCATTACATAGAAAAAGCACAATGAAGACCAAGCAGATATTTGTGCAAATCTGGATAACATTCCATACAAACACATTTGGAAGAAAGTCAACACTGCCCCATCAACCTGAGAACACCATACCTGTTAAGCACCCCATCATGTTGTGGGGATGCTTCCCATTGACAGGGGCTGGAAAACTAGTCAGGATAAATCAGATACAGGGTAATTCTAAAGTAAGACCTGTTTCAGTCTGAGTTATTCAAAAGGTAAAAATACAATATAAATTATTTTAATTCCAAGTAATACTATAAAATGTGGAAAAGTCCAAATAGAGTCAATATATAATCCATTCAGACCAAATAAGCGATTAGGCATTTACAGCAAAAACATGTAAAATTTTTGATTCTATAAAAATTTGCAACCCTGATGTCAGGGACCCTGTCACCGTGCGATGGCGACAGATCCCTTCGAGTCGCGGCGGTGCAAGTGCGCATGCACGGGAGCGTGCGGGTGCGCAGAAGCGCGTGCATGCGCAGTAGTGTCCGCGTCACCGCTAGGCGGGCTATTTAAACCTGCAATACAGTACAATCAGTGCCTTCTGGTCTACAACGTCCCTGCACTATTACTTGATCCTGTTGCCTGTATTCTGATCTGACCCTGACTAAGAAAGAACTCCTCCTGCACCAACCTCAGCTATCCCTGACCATCTTGCCTGCTCCCTTGTACTTGATCTGCCTGCTTAATACTGACCTAGCTTGTCTGACTCGGCTGCATCTACTTACCTGCACCTGGCTTGCATCCTGACGGCTGCCATACTTGTCTCCGCTGCACCTACGGATTCGCACCTGGCCTGCATCCTGGTCACTGCCATACCTGCCTGCTACCACATCCATGCTCCGGTCCCAGTCTGCATCCTGATTGCTGCCATACCTGCCTGCTGCTGCACCTACGTTACTGCATCCGCACCTGGCCTGCATCCGGATCTCCTGGGTCTTCCGCTACCTGCTGCCAGCTTCAGATCCACCCGGCACTCATGCCACTCCTGGCTCTGTGCCCTCTGTTCCCACTATCAGGGGCTCCGAGCGGGAGAAGTCGTAAGAGGACACCTTCTCTCCACGTCAGGCTCCCCAACCAGGTACGTGACACCTGACATATTTTTAGATGCCAGCACTCTAGCTTACGATAAACAAAAAATGGTATCTCTAGATGATCAGTAGATCTAAAGATGTAGACAGCCAAAAATATATTCAAATCTTAATTTTTCTGGCTAAAGTTGAGCTTAGCCTTAGCCCCGTCCCACTACTGAGTATTCCTATAAAGCCAGCCACAGATGGATTGAATCTTGGCTGGTTCAGCAGGCACCGGTCA